AGAGAGAGAGAGAGAGAGAGAGAGAGAGAGAGAGAGAGAGAGAGAGACAGAGAGAGAGAGAGAGACAGAGAGAGACAGAGACAGATAGAGAGAGATAGATAGAGAGTGAGAGAGAGAGAGAGAGAGAGAGTCACTGAATGCAGGAGTTTCAAGTTCCGGGTGCGCAACACGGCACGTGTTTCAGTAGATAACTGGGTAATTTAGCTCACCCATCACCCGGGTAGCTCGGCAAGCTCGTGACCAGCAGTGCCCATAGCAACGGGGATGGCGATGGTTACGCCGGCAGCAAGGATTGTTGCAGCGCAGAATGCATTACGGAAAAGCAGAAATCCGGCCGACCGGTGTCCATGACGATGATATACTGACAGTTGCCTTGGCAACATGGTAGAGGCAGCACGAGAGCAGACTAGAGAACTGTTCCTCCACCGGAGCTTCGGTGTCGCTGTTTCGGTGTTTTCAGTAGATAGTTGGGTAGTTTAGCTCAGAAATTCGGCTGACCAGTCTCTAACCATGATATACTGACAGCTGCAATGGCAACCCGGAGTTTCGGCGATGATGCAAATAATCGGAAGAACTCAAATAAGGCAGCAGCGTGATGGTATGTCCTGCAATGGGAAAACCAGAGTGGCAAGATCACTGTTTGCCCCGCTTCAACCATGGCCGATTTCGGTGTATCTGTGGCAAGATCAGCGCTTGGCCCGCTTCAACAATGGCTGATCATTGCTATGCGGCAAGATCAGCGCTTGTTCCGTTTCAACCATGGCTGGTCACGGTGTATCTGATTACGCAGTGGCTGCACGGCTCGACGCGGTGGCTGCAGGGTATCTGTGACTCCGTACCTCTTCCGCCGTTTCCTGCGCGAGTCATCATCCTCGCCCTCGTGTAAACCCTCCGTACTGTGCTCGCAGCCCGTATTATACTGGTTGTCAATTGACTGCCCATCAGTGTCATGTGACCTGCGTCGCTTCACACCCGGCAATGCATCAACGCTATCGTACAAACCCCTTGAGGGCGGCTTAAATATGGCTGCCTCGCCGCTGGGCACAAACCCTGCAATGTTGGGCAGTGGGAGGGGTGAGTGCGTCTCGGCTTTTGTCGGCTCGTGCGAACCGGCGGTATTGGCGTGTACAGTAACAGTTGTATCCCCGCCAGCTGGACTGTCGTCATCCTGGTCATCGCTCTCAGAACTTGACGACGCCCCGGAGCATTCCAGCAACGATTTGCTGCTGCTGCTGGTTGCTGTGGCACTCACGATAGAACTAGGTTCTTGCTTTGGTATTGGACTGCTAGAAGTACTATCCTCGTCAGAGTCCGAGCCGTAATCAGCGACAAGATCCATTTTCGAACACAACAGGGATGAGAAATCGTACAGTGACACTACGGTGCGCGCGTGCAGATAACAATTTCAGGGATGATGCAATTGCTAGACTTCAGGTCGCTTGCATGCAGGGAACAAGACGAAGATGCGTGCTTCCTAATCCTACCTTTTCCACCGTCTTCTGGTCTTTCCCTGTTTGTATTTCTGATGACATTCCCGAAACTGGCAAAGCAACGACTCCCTGGCCTGATCAACTAACTTACTTGAATCAAACAACAAGGAAATCTGTTTTTTGCATTCTTCTCTCGCGTCTGACGCCATTTCCTGGTACCATAGTAACATGAAGCCAACCAGGATTTGCATCAGAGCGCGATATGGCGAAGCCAGCTTCGAAAAAGAAAGCCGATTCGAACTGAAGTAAAAAAGAAAAGAAAAAGTGCACCAGCTTCTTTGTACACATGTACTCGTCAGTTTGACCAAGGCCTGCTCTTACAGGCTGGAGGACTGGAGGAAGGATCCCTTCTTGATGTTTTGTAGCTACAAGACACTACCTCCTTCAAGTTTTGTTGACGACTATTTTCCGAACTGACTTTCATTGGACTCCACTAGTGCACTACGTATTTTACGTGTACAAAAATTAAATTTTTAGGAAAGCTGTGCAAGATCATTCATTCTCCAAACCACAATCACTGTAGAAGTTTATGTAGTGCGGGTGAGCGGCGGAGACAACTGGTACCTTGTTCATCTCGTCCGTCCCTTGCTTTCATCCCGTCTCTCTTTGTGTAGGGTTCGCTGGTAGCTGCCGAACTCGTTCTACTGTGTACCAACTGCTGGCTTCTTGTGTTCCGTCTGTCGACCATACCTGTACAATGACTTCCAGCGTGTATCAGTACGAATTCCTGTGCAGCTGCAGTCGTCGTCTTGTATCGTATGCTATCTTGTTGGTGGCGATCTGCTCGCAAATGGCGGACAGCTCGATGGCGGTATCAGTCGGCAAGCATGACGGTGAATTTCTGGAGATCCACTCCGGAGAGACTCTGCACAACTTGCAGCTGGGTCACGGGAAATCCTTGGCGCTTCGACTGGTTGGCTTAGACAAGCAGCGTTCATACACGATCCGGATCTCCTACCCGGCTACGACGCCCACGGAGTTTGTGGTGGATGTGTTTGCTGGACTCCAGCTGCACCCGACCGTTGTGAGGCCGCAGCGTGCCCTGATGAATGTGGAGCAGATGCGCTTCTCTCCCGACTCGCTGCCCAGGAACGGCGATGGGAATGGCATCTACGCGCGCGTGACTGCGTGGCGTACTGGCGTGGCGCGGGACCCGGAACTACTCGCGCAACCAGTCGCGTTCAATCTGGTTCTGGAGAAGCTCTACATGGGCCAGCCATTACACGTGTGGGCCTTTGTTGCGTTTGCCCTGTGTGGCATTCTGTTGGTAACACTCAGTGTTCCTACTGTTCACGTCATGATACGCTACGCTGTCGATACCTTCCACCCACTGCCGGTGGTGCTCAAACTACGGACCCAGTAGCGACAGTCTAGCCATGTATGTATGCTGGCACTGTGTGTGTGTGTGCGTGTGTGTGTGTTCTCTCTCTCTCTCTCTCTGTTGGGGGGGGGGGGGGTACTTATGTCAATGTGGACGACCATCGGTTGAGGCAGATGTTCTCTTGCGGGGGGGGGAATTCACATCGTACTGCATCGATACATGTTGCAGCCGTAGATTGTGCAATTTAAACCATGTTCGTACACTGCGTCTTGGCAGTCGCGGATTTTTGTTGGTTGTTGACATGAGATTTCTACGAAATGTGTGTCAAAACCGGCCAACGACTACACATATGTATACATGATTTTTGCAGGTAATAAAATAGAAGAAGTCACATGGTTAAGATGATGATAAGTGGTTAAATTTAAATGTCCGTTGATATGAGCGGTCTTGAAGTACAAGCAATATGCTCTTGTGGCGGTAAATCCTATGTTTTCTCATGGCCGGTGGCTAATCATTCATCCTTATATGTGTACATGTTTATTTTAGACTGGCGGACTTGTTAATCATTCACCACAGAGCTGTTGAATCTCCTGTGCATTGTCAACTTTCTTAATGCTTGTAAGTTATAATTATGTGTGTGTGTGTGTGCGTGTGTGTGATGGCGGCAGGCACTCGAGCACAGAAGGCACAGTCTAAGCAGAATGCACTTGGCAACAGGTTTGGATCGACAGCCACCAAATGCCCACGCTGTGACCTGAGCGTCTATCATGCTGAGAGAATAGTTGTCACAGGAAGGGTGAGTCTCCAGTGTTGATAGAGAAATCTACTGTCTCCCATCCCATCACAACCACTTCCGTGGCTCTTGTTGGTTACATCTAATGTGAAGACTGCTCAGCATCGACCCGTATGCTTGCCCGTTCGGTGTCTTATCATAGTTAACAATTATGGTCTTTGAGCTGTCAGCCTCTCGTGCCTACATGTACTGTTGCCTGTAGATGTAGGGGTGTATCTGCTTCTGTAATGTTGCTGGTCCCTGCATTGTGATGTACTGAGTCTCTCTCTCTCTCTCTCTCTCTCTCTCTCTCTCTCTCTCTCTCTCTCTCTCTCTCTCTCACTCTCTCTTTCTCTCTTTCTCTCTCTCTCACTCTCTCTCTCTCACTCTCACTCTCTCTCTCACTCTCACTCTCACTCTCACTCTCTCTCTCTCTCTCTCTCTCTCTCTCTCTCTCTCTCTCTCTCTCTCTCTCTCTCTCTCTCTGCACCATGTATCGGTGCAGGACTACCACCGTGCTTGTTTCCGCTGTAAGACATGCAAGCGTAACCTCGAGTCGGGCAGCCACGCTGAACATGAGGAGGAAGTCTATTGCAAAGGTATGAGACGGTGCATGCTAATATCCTACTGTAGTTTGAACACACGGCTGAGCAACGCACGGTATTGTGTTGCTGAAATGTGCACAATCTCCTTTGTTTCACTAATGGACAGTGGTTCAAACTGAAATCCGACCCCTGGATTTTTTACGCACGAGTGCTGTGGAGCTAAAACAAACCCTAGCAAGTAGTGTGCTAGCAAAGCGTGAAAATCACTTTTCTGGCATTCGATTTTCTGGTTCTGCGTATCGCTGCGTACTACCGCACTGACCCTGCTTTGAGGCTGGTGTGGTAGGGTGCCGTGTTGGTGCAGTGCGAGCGCACCGCTCCCGGGGTCGGATTTCAGTTGCCATCACTGTAGTAGAGCGCATTGCTTGTTCTTACCTCCACTGTTACTCCACTGTGGGTGTATGGTGTCTGTAAATTTAGGTCTATCATAACTCTCTCTGTCTATCTGTCTCTCTATCTCTCTCTCTCTCTCTCTCTCTCTCTCTCTCTCTCTCTCTCTCTCTCTCTCTCTCTCTCTCTCTCTCTCTCCCTCTCTCTCCACCTGTATTCTGTTCCAGGTTGCCATGCTAAGGAGTTTGGTCCAAAAGGTTGCGGCTTCGGTATTGGCGCGGGTGCTTTACGCACATCCTAGACAAGCATGCAGACGGACGCCAGGCACGCTGCAGCGAATTGTATTACATCTGCTCACCAGCTTCCATGCCTGCCTGCATGCACTGCTGTATCAGTGTCTGGCCCCGCTGTGCACGGCACTGTCTGCGAGCGGTGTTTGTGACTGCTGCATTCTATGCCACGTCTGCATGGAACTTTTAAAGCGGTCATGACAACACACAGCTTCAGAGCCTGTGTATTTTTTATCAGATTGCACGTACCTACAGGAAAAGTATGTATTTGACAGAACGATGTTCACCGCTACTTTCCACCTGAATTCATCTTGTGTACTACTTGCACATAATAGAATGTACCTGCTATCTGTGTGAGAACATTTCGCTCAAGAGATACCTCAAAAGTTAGAATGCACGATATCTTTGATAGCACAAGATAGTGTATTTGAGAAGAAGTAGCGATGACCCGGCCATTGTGTGGTGGTGTGGTGTATAAGATAGTGTATGTTTATGATCGGGGTGTCAATGGGTAATAGGGTATGTGTGCTACCCGACATTAGAGCGGATAAGTATTCAGGTAGCAGTTTGCTCCTGAGAACTCAATCGGCTAGTTAGAGTACGGTGTTTTCGCGACGATGCATGTAAAAAAAAACAAGCATGGCTTTGTGCTTACTGTACACTTTCTATGTAGCACAAGTGCACGCTCACTGCACAAATAAATAAAATTTAAAACGATGTCCAAAAAATACCCGATAGTTATAGGGTCCGGTACCCATGCTCTTCCACACTATGCACGTACAATAGTAAGTTACGTGTACCGTACTCGTATACTGTTTGCATAGTAGTTTGAAGCAAGGAGTACTAAAACAACTTTGGTACTGCCCGGTCCGAAGGGAATACAGTAAACCTGCCCAGATCCGTGCAGGTTGGGACCGACCACTGCCCGTAACTAGGAATAATTGCCCGTAACTCACAACTTACATACCGTAAAGTCTTGTATAAAAGCCGCGGCTTCTATGACTTTTCTTGGTGAAATTTTGCAGGCTTCTATAGAGACAGGTATTTCTATTATGTCAACACTAAAACCAGGCTTGTGTGTGATTTGATGGGCCCAAAATTGCGGCTTCTATTCAAGTGCGGCGTTTATACAAGACTTTACGGTATTTACTGCATGCAAGAGAAGAGTAAATTGATACTAATAAAATAAATAAACTTCATACCAATCAATACGACTGTTTTGGGGCCGTTTTTCGTTGAAAGCCATTTTTATGACTCTAGATGGGTCAGAAAGGTGCCCGGATTACGGACGTCCGGATCTGGGGAGTTTTGCTGCAAATACAGTTATGGCTACTGGGTACAGGGTGTCCTGAATCAGATGCAGTGTTGCATGGTTTTCGGTCACATGCAGCATCTCTGGCAAGCTGAGCCATATCAAGAGTACGTGTGACCACCCAATCTCCATTTTTCTCCAGTGCTGTACATAATCATTATAAATTCCACGAAACACCTGTGACCAGGGAGTCGTCAATAGCATTGTATTAATTTTGACGACTCCCTGCCTGTGATGCATAAAATGCGTTGACAACCCATACAAAAATTGGAAAATAATAATAACTCCTGGGAGGAGCATTGAATCATGAGAATTACTGACATCAACTTGAAATTCTGCCGGGACAGCAGTCACACTCCCGGGGTTATACTCTTGAGCATATTAGTGCTGAGTCGGGTAGCGTTTTCTTCGGGTATCGGGGTCGGGTAGGTTTCCACGGGTACCCGATCGGGTAATGTTTCCATGGTAGTACCACACTGCACCCCTTCCCTTACACACTGGGTGGACATGCGGGGTATTACATGAATTTGTACACATGCACTGCACATGATGTCGTCTGCGACTTCAGGTTTTCGGGTACTATTCTGTACCCGACTACCCGAGGTCCCCACAGGGAAGCACAGGTACCCGACTACCCGTGCACACCCCTAGAGCATATATTATACAGCAGAACCAAGAGTACATAACCCCCAGGGGTTATGTACTCTTGGTAGAACACATGCTGATTATCCGAACGTCAACTACTGTATCCGAAATCACTGTTTGCACTGAATGGAGGGACGAAAATGAGCTTTTAGAACTTTTTTACTGATTTCCTCACCCTGTGCACCATTGAAAATGGTGCAAAGGGTGCAAAGGCTGTGTGGCGTGGCAACAGGTTGGCGTCAGATTATATGATTGTCCCAATGGCGTCATGTGAAGGAGCTGGACTGTGTTTAATTCCTGTGGTACTGCCAAAGAGAATGAAAACACGAGGGAATGTGCATGGTTTAGATGGACGTGTACCTGCTCCCTTATCAGACCATACTCATCATCCCAACACCCTGGAGACAACCCCGCGTCCAGAGGGGTGCGGACAATCGGCACTCTACTGTATACAGCAAAGGAAGAAGCTCACGAGTATGCAGATGATAGGAGAGGTCGTGTCGTGTGAGTGCATGCGTGCTCGTGGGTTCTTACTCTAGGTTCAAGCAATCATCTCCAATAGTGGCAATACCAGTCTGAGTATTCAACTGTGTTTATCAACCAGTGCATGCGTGCTGCCTTCATTACATAACCTGCTTGCATAAAGCCCTACACTCTACACCCGCAATCTTTCATACCAGCACGTCCGGTTTCACTTGATTCGTTCGAGTACCTTACCAATCTCCAAGGTTTGGCCGCATAAACTCTAGTTCTGCCCTGGCAGACAAAAAAAGTACGTTAAAACGCACTTGATGAGGCTGATGTCAGCCAGTCATGCAGATATGCGAACATGCCACCCTGGCCTAGGTCTTATTCCATATACACGGGTCTCCAGCAGGAAAAATACACGCACTCTCACACCCATACCCCCCCCCCCCCCCCACACACACACCAACACACGCCACACACACGCACCCCCCCCCCCCCAAAAAAAGCCAAATTTCCAGACCTTACACATCCATCATCGTCAGCACATACTGTTGAAATTCTATCTTATCAGCTCATAGTGTCGGGGTGGTAATAACTAGGGTTTCATGCTCTTGTTTTCCAGCTGGGTTCAGTGTAGTCAGACTTCTCGCCTTCGTAAGCAAGGTTGAGCTCATTCTCCTTGCGGAACTGGAGATCCTCCGACGATTCCGTACTCGAGTGCGGGACTGGCAGGTCGGCAAGCTCACGCTGAAAGTGATCGACAAGAGCTCGTTGACATGCCTACGTGAAGAGGGTGTTTGCAAGTGCAAGAACACACACACACACACACACACACGCATGGACATACGGACACCATGCACACACACAAACACGTACAGATATACACACACAGATACAGATAAGCACACAAACACAGACACAAAACATACACACACGCAAACACAGACACACACACACATGGACACAGAAACATACAGACACACACAGTTAGGCATAGTTCCCATAACAATTTGTACCTTTCCAGCTCTTCACTGTCTAGAGTGTGACGAAGAGGAAGGGAACAGTTACAATATTTTTTCTCTGGAACTAAATTACAGGGTGATTAGGAGGGGTTGCAGCCGGGTTGCTGGTTGACAATGAGGGGGGGGGGGGGGGGGCACACCCCATACACACCCTTATCTCAAGTCCACCATACACGCACGCACACACACACACACACACACACACACACGCACACACACACACACACACACACACATACACACACACACACACATACACATATACACACACACACACACACACAGTGACAAAAGCCAGTGAGCAATAACAGTTACGTACAATATGATGTTGTTGATCTTGCGACACTGACATGGACGTCGGCACTATCAAACGGCAATACAGGGCAAACAAAAACATGAGTAGTTTGTAAAAACATGGTATGCTATCCGCAGTGACAGCAATCGGCCCTCAGTCCGTACATGTACCAGTGGGAATACGAGATGACCGGTGTGGGTCGGACGGTTCATCCACTCATCACCTCATCCACTCATGACCTCATCCACTCATCACCGCATTCACTCCATGTTGAAACGAGGCCAGGAACGCCACCACCCTCAAGAATCGCAGGCATCACATTCAAGAATCAAGAAGACTGAAAATCACATTCGCTGCATCCATGTTTCCCTCATGCCAGGACACAAAGTCCCAATTTTAAAACTATGGGTGGCAGTATGGCTGGAAAAATTCTACCACTTCCAAGCACTCTCTCATCTGCGAATCAGCGGAATGCAGAAAATAAGCTAATCATATCTGTCAATACTACGAGCTGTGCTGTCATCATGATTTTAACGCACAAATTCTAATGAAGTCCAAGAAGCGACAAGAAAACGTTCTGGCTAACCCTCATTGGTCGTGTTTCTTCTGGCCACGTGCAAAGTCGCTAGAAGTGGCGGTCAGCCGCCATGCAGTGGGATTGACCTTGTTCTAAAAAAGAGTACAAGGCAGTTCACGCCCAATGCCCCCATACAAGGCGGCTCATGCCCAATGCCCCCATACAAGGCAGCTCACGCCCAATGCCCCATACAAAGCAGCTCATGCCCAATGCTCCCACTATGTTGCTGGCCAGAATGGCGGACTCACCTTCAGCGAGTACCCGATCTCCGGAGACAATGTGAGTGAGGACGGCGTCCGACTGGCCACCGGTAACACTGTATACACACATGTGTGCGATGGATGGAGGGAGGAAGGACAGACAGACAGACACACACACACGCACACACACACGCGCATATCCACGCACACAGACACACACATACACCACACACACGCATGCACAGACACACAAACATAAACACACAGACAGACATGCACAGACACCACACACAGACACAGACACAGACACAGACACACACACACACACACACACACACATTACGTTACCATCAAGGCAGAGGCAAAGCTTGGAGTGCAACCATTCAACATGGGTAACATGCTAAGAGTTGCAGGTGGCTTTGAGAACCTGCCGCCCATTGACATGTACACAATGCACACGGTATTTGATTCAAAAGATCAGTTTTACAAGTATGCATACAGTCAACCAGTGGACAAACACCCTGGGTTTAACAAATCGCCAATAACGATGATGGCCGATAAGCGGATAAGCCAGAGGAGTCCATGGCATGTGAGAAAATCCATTGGAAAGAGCCGTCCCAGTTGTTTCCGAACACACCTGCAGAATCTAGCCTCAATCCAAAGATCTAGGTGC